ACATTTTATATTAGGGAAATCTGCTGTCAGGAGCCTTTCGAAAGTGCTAAAGAATAATAGTATCTGTTTAAAGATTAAGATATGCCTAGTGCAACAAGTCATGGTCTCCTTACTTACTTATTATGGATCTGAACATTGGACAATGAATAAGGATGACAGAAGAAGAATAGATGCCTTGAGTTGTGATGTTAGAGAAGGGTACACATGGAGGAGAATCCCATGGGTTGCCAAAAGAACAAACAAGTCTGTCTTCAGAAAGTGCAACCAGCGTGGTACTTGGAGGCAAGAATAATGAAATGTTTGTCTCACATATTTTGAGAATGTTGTTAAAGAGGGACTAGTGCTTGGGAAAAGGCTTCATGCTTAGACAGGTGGAGTGTCAGTGAAAGAGAAGAAGACCCTCAATAAGATGGACTGACACACTGATTATTACATCAATGGGCCCAAGCATATCGTGGATGATGAGGATGGCACAGAATAGGACAAGGATCAGACCTGTTCATAGGGTTGTTTGTTATTAGGTGTCGTCAAATCGTAGATGACTCATAGAGACCCTATGAACAAAAGGCCTGAGCACTGTTGATACACAGAGTTTGTGGAAGCAAGCCATTTTGGAAGTGGATGCCACTCCTGCTTCCAGGCTTGTTTGTTTTAGTTGGGAAGCTCCAGCCAACACTCTCCACCATGGATACCCATTACCATGTTTGGCACATCAGTGTAACAGTGTTCAGCATCACAGCAACCACGAGTTACCTCTGTACAGCAACACACAGACCAGTGCTATACTACCTAGAAGAATGTTTGACAAGAAAATTATATCTATTAGGGCTGTTGTGCATAGGGTCACTATGAGTTGGAAATGACTCGACGGCACATAACAACAACAACAACAACAACAACCTTGAAACTCTGTTTTAATTGTCCCATTGCCACAGTGCTTTTCAAAGCCAGTTCTGATTAATCTCCTTTGTCAGTGTGTCCTTTGCCATTCCCTATCACTCCTCCTTGAGAAAGACTTCACCCTGATTCATAAGGAAAAGGGGACAGCATATTATCTTAGCCACTGGACCCATTGGCAGCATCAGGATGGATGACGAAGAGATTGAGAGTGTTCACAGCTTCAGTTTGCTCGGCTCCACAGTCAACACTCTTGGCACCAGCAGTCAGGAAATCAAAAAGTGTATCATGATGGGAAAGTCTGCTGTTAGGGACCTCTCCAAGGTACTCAGGAGCAACAGTGTCTCTCTGGAGACTAAGGTGCGCCTGATATAGGCCATGGTATTTGCAATCCTTTGTTACGCATCAGAGAGTTGGACAATGACTAGGGAGGACAGAAGGAGAGTGGATGCTTTTGAGCTGTGGTGCTGGAGAAGGGTACTGAATGTACCATGGACTGCCAGGAAAACAAACAGATTGATCTTGGAGAGGATTAAACCAAGCTACTCCTTGGAGGCAAGGATTCTGGGGCTTCGTCTGACATACTTTGGACATGTTGCCAGGAGGGACGGGTCCTTGGAGAGGGACATTATGCTTGGGAGGGTGGAGCGAGCAGGAGGGGAAGACCCTCTATGAGATGGATTGATTCGGTGACTGGGGTAATCGGGATGGGTGTGTCAGAGGCGGTGCGGTTGGCGCAGGATAGAGCAGGGTTTAGGGCTGTTGTGCATAGGGTCACTATGAGTCGGAAACGACTCGACGGCACCTAACAACAACAACAACAACAACAACATCTCTATATATCTCTATCTCTCTATCTCTATCTCATCTATATCATCTCTATCTCTATCATCTCTATCTATATCATCTATATATCTGTATCTCTATCTATATGTGTCTATCTCTCTTTTCATTTTCCACTTGTTCCAAAGTGAAATAGTATTTCATATAATACATGTAAAAGATTTTAATTCTTCAATTGTTGACATTTTTATATATATGTTTAAACAGTCTTTCAAGTGTTGAAAATGCTAGAGACACCTCGTGTCAAAATCAGAATGTCTTTTTCTATTTATCATTGTATTTTGACTTTTTAATTCATGAAATTGTTGATGTGCTTTGCTTCCATGCCAATGTGGGCATAACTCAGAGATAGGGTTAAATAAGATTAAATATTAAGCATGTTATTGTATAGAGGATATAATCACATTTCCTGGTTATTTATTTAGAGAGGCCAATGAGACCAGAATTAAATTGTGGGCTCTGAGGTTCCAAAATTTAGAGGAGAAAATAAAAATGATTATAAATAATGTGTAATTTTTACTCTACTGCTATTGATTTGATTTGCCTATTGGATTTTCAACACAGTAAATCTTTGTGAAAGCAAATTGCCTCATAATTCTCCCTGGGAGTGCTGGTAGATTTGAACTGCCAACTTTATGTTTGGCTGCCCAATACTTAATTGATCACACAATCAGGGCTTCTATTTAACTGATGCCACAGACCTAAATTTGTCCTTCCCAGAGGATATAAAGCGAGATGTATTATTGTTGTTTTACAACTTACAGCTCAATTAATGTTGTATTAGGAACTTTGTTTTAATTGCTTCTGAGGGACTTTATCCCAAAGTACTAGAAATTTTCCAAACTCTACCCTGTCTGCATCATGAACTTTAAATTGCTTTTGGGATTAGAAGCATCCTCAAAGCAGTAAAGACTTTACGTTGCTTTGGTGCTCTATTGACTGGTCTTTTAAGGCACCTAGAAGGAGCTCCAGCTGCCACGTTTACCAGAACTTGTTCCTGTTTGGTCACTGGTGAATTGGTTTTATAAGAGCAATAACAGTTACTTTATATTAATAAGAATGCAGAAAGGATAGTCCTTTCTGTTAAAGTGTGGAAATGGAATTGATGAGATAGCAATCTGGAAATAAGACTTCTATTTCCAGGATTTTAATATATAAATATTTCATATTCTATGAAAATCAGCTATGAGTCAGTTCTCACTCTCTGTACGTAACTACAACAGCAGTAACAACAGCAGAAGTAACAACAGCAACAACAACATATTCCAGGTAAATATGACACAAATAATGATCACCCCTGCTAATGTCATGCTTTGCATGAGCTATGCCCGTAATCATGGTTCTTTCTGAATATGTCAAGAAAGGGAAAACAGCAAAGCAGAGAAGAAGTTGATTTTGTATAAGAAGAAACAAATTTTTTCACACCTGAAGGTAAAAAAGTGGACTTTCTGTAATAGAAATTTCTCAATTCATAAATCTCTTATTGACTGTAGATTGAGACATGTGCACGAGACCTTTCTTGGAGTCACTTGTAATTCAATTTCTGTGTTAAGAAGACAGGTAGGTACAGACACTTATCAATTTGTACTGAAAAACCCCAAAACCCAACACTTTTTTCTTTGCTTTTTCTTTTACAAACATTACTAGTATCTACAGTAGATATTCTTGACATCACATATATGTACGTATTTTTTTTCTCAAATTCAAAATATCAATTTTTTCCTAAAAACACATCTCTTAAAAGAATCAATCAATCAATCAATTAATTGTTACTAAATTCAGTTAAATAATACCTTGTTTTGGTTACAGAAAAGTAGTGATTTTTTTAAAAAAAATTTCACTCATTCATTGTTGCACTTTTCTCCCTGCCAACCCCTCCCCTGCAGTTTGTTCTTCTCTTTGAAAAGTAAAAGAAAAATTCTTTCATTGTTATGCAATCCCTCTCCCCCAAGTCCACTCCACTATGCAGTCTTCATTCTGGACCCCTGTCATGACAACAATACCTAATTATATACCCCTTCTAAACAGTTCTGTCCGTCGTCTATTTCAATGCAGTAAACATTATTTATCCCCTTTTTCTCAGTCTCCCCTCAACCCTGATATCAATCTCATTTTACAACAGTGGCACTGAAAAGCAGTGACTTTTATGGATAGCATATTTGTTAGGAAAAAAATTAGGTTGCAGATAAATATTAGTTAAAATGGTCTCATATCTCACCACTGGGCCAATTGGAAGCATCAGTATGGATGGTGAAGAGATTGAGATAGTTAACAGTTTTAGTTTACTTGGCTCCACAGCCAACACTCTTGGTAACAGCAGCCAGGAAATCAAGAGACGAATTGCATTGGGAAAGTCAGCTGTGAGGGACCTCTCAAGAGTACTGAAGAGCAACGACGTCATGCTGGAGACTAAGGTGCGCCTGATTGGGGCTATAGTCTTCGCAATTATGTGCTATGCGTAAGAGAGTTGGACAGTGAATAGGGATGATAGAAAGAAAATTGATGCCCTTGAGCTGTGGTGCTGGAGACGAGTGTTGAATATACCATGGACTACTAGGAGAACAAACAGGTTTGTCCTAGAGAAGGTGAAGCTGGAATGCTCCTTGGAGTCAAGGATTCTGAAGCTTCATCTGACATACTTTGGGCATGTTGAAAAGAGGGACTGGTCCTTGGAGAGGGACATCATGCTTGGCAGAGTGGATGGGCGGCGCAGGAGAGGAAGACCTTTGACGAGATGGATCAATTCTGTGACCGGAGTGATGGGAATGAGTGTGTTTGAGATGGCTAGGTTGGTACAGAATAGAACAGAGTTTAGAGCTCTTGTACATAGGGTCGCTAGGAGTCGCAAGCAACTTGATGGCACATAACAACAACAATAACAAATCTGCTGATCCGTATCATCTTACACATTTTTCCTGAGTTGATAAAATTATTATAGTGACACAGAATTATGTATCTAACTATAATGTCAAACTTAATTCAAGTTAGATACATAATTCTAACCCAGCTGCTTGTGTTCTGAATCTGGTATTGAAAAAGAATATGTGTTTTACAACTAACACCTCCTTTGAAAGGAAAAGTCTAACTGATTTCTACTTAAAGACTCTGAATTTATTCTTATGCTATATGTGTATTCAATTATAGGTCCTCATTACTCATAAAGGCACATGCTTTAGGATGCAAGCAGCTTTTATAGAAGCAATTATAAAAGGACTGTGTATTCCAGCCTCTGCAGATTGTTGGTGAAAGAAAACAGTAACATGGGAAAGGTCAATCAATCTTCTGTGATGGAATTTCTTCTGCTGGGGCTTTCTGGCTACCCAGAGCTTGAGGCCATCTACTTCGTGCTTGTCCTGTGTATGTACTTGGTGATCCTGCTGGGAAATGGGGTCATTATCATTGTGAGTATCTTCGACACCCACCTGCACACTCCCATGTACTTTTTCCTCAGTAACTTATCATTCTTGGACATTTGCTACACCAGTTCTTCTATCCCACTCTTTCTCAGCAGCTTTGTAAATTCAAAGAAAACAATTTCCTTCTCTGGGTGTGGAGTTCAGATGTTCCTCTCCTTTGCTATGGGAGCCACAGAGTGTGTGCTTCTAAGCATGATGGCATTTGACCGCTATGCGGCCATCTGTAATCCTCTGAGATATCCTGTCATCATGAGCAAGGCTACGTATGTGCCCATGGCTGCTGGGTCCTGGATTGCCGGGGGTGTCAACTCTATGCTGCAAACCTCTCTTGCCATGCGGCTTCCCTTCTGTGGGGATAATGTCATTAATCATTTTACTTGTGAAATCCTAGCTGTCTTAAAATTAGCCTGTGCTGACATCTCCATAAACGTTATTAGCATGATGGTTGCAAATATGATTTTCCTTGTTGTCCCTGTACTTTTCATTTTTATTTCCTATGTTTTCATTCTCTCCACCATCTTGAAGATTCCTTCTGCGGAGGGAAGGCGCAAAGCCTTCTCCACCTGTTCAGCCCACCTGACGGTGGTGATTATATTCTATGGGACAATCCTCTTCATGTATGCAAAGCCCAAAGCTAAAGATTCCTCTGGGACAGACAAAGAACAAGTCACAGATAAAATCATCTCTCTTTTCTATGGAGTGGTGACTCCCATGCTCAATCCTCTCATTTACAGTTTGAGAAACAAGGATGTGAAGGCAGCTGTGAAGAATGTGTTGTGTCAGAAATGCTGAATCGGAGGCAATGCAAATCTACATCTCTTGTTCTTTTTTTTTTTAAAAAAAAACCCAACACCCCAAAACCAAAACCAAAACAAACCAAAAACCCACAGCAGATCTTTTCACTACGTAGGTCTGATAGTAAAGGACTTCTAATTTTTATTTTCAGTACAAAGGCTAATTCTCCTCTGCTGTTGTTGTTATGTACCATGGAGTCAGACCCAACAAGTAAATGATCCTCTGGCAGGTTTTCAGAGGCAGTAAATTGCACTGGAGCAGATTGTCCACCCTTCTCCTGCAGAGCAGCTAGTGCATTTAAACTGTGCTGATGACATTTTTAATTTAGGAAGTTTTCTTTTTTGTTTCTTGTCATTAACTGAGAGAGAGAAATGAAGAATCTGTCATGAATCGATTAAGGCAAAGAGGAGTAGGAATCCATGAGTAAAAGAATTCTCTCTCTCTGATACAGAGGGAGCTCTTGTGGCCTCATGGTAAAAAACTGTGTTGTTATCACAAAGGCACACGACTTGAACCCACCAGCTGCTCTGTGGGAGAAAGATAAAGAATCTCCTCCCGTGCGATTAAGCTGCTTCTGAAAACCTGCTGGAGGGTCAGGTATGAGTCGGTTCTGGCTTGACAGCACACAACAGCATGGAATGAAGAGCTTGATATTCTTATATAAAAATAAATACCATTTTGTACCTTATATAAAATAAATACCGTTTTTACTAACTTCTTGTGGTATCCTTTAGGCATATCAGTTTCCCAATTTTTAGCGTCCGTAGGGAAACCAAATAGAGAGTGACTTGTTAAAGGTTAGAATGCTACACGTATATGAAATGGTTCACAGTGGAGCTGCCTTTGATCATATTGATGGGACTGAGGAGGACATTAGAGCATTGACTACCTGTATTTTTCTATGGAAGAGTAAGAGAAGAGTGAAGCTCTATTTTTCCTCCTTGGGACTGACTTTCTTTCCTTTGACTACCAACTGCTGAATACGCTTCTGTGTAGACATGTCTGAGGCATCGTGAGGCTCCATGCAGAAAAACCAACTGATGGGAAAATTGGTCTGTCTTGAATTTCAGTAGATTAACAATGAAATCAGTGAATGAAACCTATTGTTACTATTATGTGACTAAAAATATAACTAATGAATACTTTGGTTGTGGAATTCTTTTGGGCTTAAAGGAAAACAAATTTGCTATTTATACTGGAAAATGAACTTCCACTTAATCAGCCAGGTTTTTTTCCATGGAATCAATTAGTATTTATTGAATTTAGTGAAAAATTTTTCACTGGTCATATGCTAACCGCTAGCTGATCTATAAAAGCAAAGTAAAACTAACAACAGATATTAAAATATATGACAAAATATAGCTTATTTTATGAAATGTAGCTGGCACATATATTAGGAAAACAAACTTTAAAATACCTTTACTTATAAGTGTTTTTCTCTCTACAATATTGCGTTTATAATATGTTGGACTTTTTCTGCTGAATAAAGTGATGGGTGATCTTTGGAATGATTTAATAGGCTAGGATGATCTTCATGTGAAAAAGATTATAATATCTCTAAGGTGAAATAACAGAGACACATGAGAGAGAGTGTAGAGAGTCATTGCATACCAGAAATTTCTAAAATAGGAAGAGGAAATGTTTGAACAGACATTGGAAAACTGAAATAAAACGAAAGGAAGAAACAATTAAAGAAAACTTTTGGGAAGCTTTATGAAGATGTTATGTGGCTTCTCTCAGTGTCTTTTAGAAAAAAAATGTCAGTAGAGATAGACAACATCCTTGAAAACTCTTGATAGTGATTGATCTAATTCCTTTTGCAGTATCCTGATGATAAGACCAACCATAGATAAAAGTAGCCAAATGAAGACTCAAGTCAGTAGCAAATATCATACAGCATATTACGAGCTGTTATAGGAGAACGTGGAAGTTCTGGAGTTCGGGCAGCTCAGTATTAAGAACTTGCTCTGTCAATCCAAAGACAAACCATTTGAATTCACCAGCTACGCTTCGGGAGAGATATGAGCAATATCCTCTCCTGTGACTCACTATCTCTGAAAATCCACTTAAGCAATGAGTTGGCTCGATTGAATGAAGCAATGTTGCTGTTATTGTTATGTGTCAGTAGTCGCTTATGACTCATAGTGACCCTATGTACAACAGCTCTGAATCCTGCTCTATCTTGAGCCAATTTTATTGTCTCTGACACATGTGCCCAGTCACTGAGTCGATTCATCTCATTCAGGGTCTTTCTTGCTCTGTCCCTCCACCCTCCCAAGCACACGTGATGTTGCTCTCCAAGGACTTGTCCCCCCTGGTAACATGCCCAAAGCATGTCAGATGGAACTTAAAAATCTTTGCCTCCAAAGAGCTGGCCGGTTTCATCTTTTCCAGGACAGATCCGCTTGCTCTCTTAGCAGTCCATTTGGTACTCTTCTCTAGCACCACAACTCAAAAACATCAATTCTTCTTCTGTCATCTTGTCATTGTCCAGCTCACTGATGCATAGCAAGTAATTGCAAAGACCATGACCTAAATCAGGCATACCTTAGTCTCCAGACTGACAGCACTGCTCTTCAACGGTTCTGAGAACTCCCTGACAGCAGCATTCTCCAAAGCAATTCTTTTGATTTCTTTACTGCTGGTGCCAAGAGTGTTGATTGTAGAGCTGTTGTTGTTATTGTTAGGGAGCTGAACAAGCTGAAAGTGTTAACAATATCAGTATCTTTTCCACCTATCATGTTGTTATTTTTAGGGAGCCGAGCTAGCTGCACTTGTTGACAAAATCAATCTCTACTCCATCTATCATGGTGCTGGCAATTGGTGCAGTGGTGAGAATCTTTGTTTTCTTAATGTATAATGTTTTATTTGGAGAAAAGTATTTTCTTACAGGAAAAGTTTTTAAAATCACCTCTTTGTGAAATAGAGTGTACTTAAGAATTATAAGAAAGAGACTGATATGATTTGTTGTTGTTTTTGGAAAAATCACAGCAACACTGGGGATACTAACAAGATAAACCTTTTGCTGACAAGTTGCAGGATTATTTCACATTCCTTGATCAGCCCACAGAATGTAACAGGTTTTCCTTTTTGCAATTAGAGTAATTATCATCTACTCCATATTTTGGAGTCTCTGTCTACTTTCGGAGAGGTTGTAGAACAGTTAATTTCTCAAATAACTTTCCTGACTCTTTGGTTTACTATTTATACTCCAATTAAATGAGAAAATAGAGTAAAAATTAGTAAAATAAAGTGAATGAGATGTTACTCAGGTTCAGGTTGTAAACATTAGTCCTGACCTTCATATCTGCTCTTGAATTTCCTGTAGTAGTATTTTTAAAATTCTAGATTATTTGAGCACTTAGGTATGAAGATAAAGTGCCTCACGACTCTACGGAGCACTTTTGGTTGCACCATCTCCAAGACACATCTGTCTGTTTTGTTTGCAGTACATGGGATATTCAGTATTCTTTCTCAACACCATAGCTCAAAGGCATACATCCTTCTGTTTCCTTATTCATTGCCTAGCTCTCAGACACATAGCAAGTTATTGAAAAGACTAGGGCCTGAATCAGGTGCACTTTAATCTTGAAACCAACATCATTACTGCTTAGTACTTGGAAGAGATCCTTAATAGGAGACTTCTAGTATCATGGGTGTTGATCATGGATCCAAGTAAGACAAAATCTTTGACAACTGCAATCTTTCCTCCAACTATCCTGATGTTGTCTATTGGCCCACTGGTGAGGATTTTTGTCATCTTGATATTAAGATGTAACTCAATGTCACATTCTTCTTCATAATGTCCACATTCTCAAATAATTTTCTCAACGTACAGATTGAAAAGATATGGAGAAGTGATACAACCCTGACATACACCTTAATTTTAAATCATTTAATATTCTCTTGCTCTGTTCAGACAACAATTTCTTGGTCTAGGTCTAGGTTTTATATAAGCAAAATTAAGTGTTCTGTGTTCCCATTCTTCTCACTGTTAAATCATAATTTGTTATGATCCATTAATAAATCCATTAATAATTTGAATGTGGACTGTACAAAGAGTAAATATAGGAAACTAGGAGGTTGTAAAAAAAATGGAACACATAAAGATTGACATTCTAGGCATTAGTGAGCTGAAGTGGACTGGCATGGGTTACTTTTGAATTAATCAGCTGATCTACTAAGCTGGGAATAAAAATAAGGTAAGAATGGTGTTGCATTCATAGTTAAAAAGACCATTTCACAATCTATCCTGAAATACATGGCTGTGAATAGTAGGATGCTATTCATACACACAAAAGAGATCTGTTAATACAACTACTATTCAAACATACCAACAATTTAAGCTAAAGATGAGGAAATTGAGAGGTTCTAGCAATTTTTTTAATCATACTAGTTTATTTACAAAATCCAAATACATAGTTTTCCAGAACAGATTCTTCCAATTTCCTTCACTTTCCCACCCATTAACCTTTAAGTCCAAAGTTGACAAAACATGTAATCAGGATGTATTAATAATAATTGGTTATTAGAATGCAAAAGTTGAAGACAAGAAGAAGGAATAATAGTTGGAAATTACATACTTGGTGACTGAAATTAAGCTGGAGATGGAATGATTAAATTATAACTTTCAATGTAGATTGAAGGGATATAATATTCATTTTTATCATAAGTGCCATACAGAAAACAATAAGAACTATGTTCATAGCAACCTTATGAACAACAGGTTGCAACCTTGCCTTGTCTTGTGCCATCCTCACAATATCCTCCAGGCTAAAATGTCTTGTTGCAGTTACCTTGTCAGATTCCCTTATTAAAAGTCTTCCTGTCTTTTACTTGCCCTCTACTTTCCCAAGCATTATGCATTTTCCAGGTATTGATACTTCCTGATAATATGCCCAAAATATATGAAATGAAATTTTGCCATCCTCATCTCTTAACAGTCTCCCATCGTTGCACTTCCTCTTAGACAAATTTGTTTCTTTATGTGGCAGCCC